TAAATAATATAAATAAGAATAAACTCAAGTCACCACATAAATGACTTTGGTTTAGTGTCCCCTTTTTTCCCATGAAATAATCAAGTCTGGAGTTTGAATCGAGTGGCCTGTGGCCCATACCATAACCCCACCACCACCATGGGCCACTCAATTCACAACATTACCCTAACCCTAACCCTCACATCAGATACTGACTGGTTTTCGGACCCCCCCAGACCCCCCCAATAAAGCAAAAATGCACGTTTCAGAGTGGCCTTTTATTGTGGCCAGCCTAAGGCACACCTGTGCAATAATCATGCTGTCTAATCAGCATCTTGATATGCCACACCTGTGAGGTGGGATGGATTATCTCGGCAAAGGAGAAGTGCTCACTATCACAGATTTTTTCAGATTTGTGAACAATATTTGAGAGAAATGGTTATTTTGTGTATATAGAAAATGTTTCAGATCTTTGAGTTCATCTCATGAAAAATGGGAGCAAAAACAAAAGCTTTGCGTTTATATTTTTGTTCAGTGTATATACCTTTATCTAAAAATATAGTAATACAAGTAATTCTAGCTGCTCTGCAAGCTTATAATCCAAAAGTGTAATTCACCTTGTAAAGATACAACTCTTGCAGCAACAATGTTATTACTAGTAGTCACCTCCTATGAAGATGAGACACAATTGTTCAAGTGCAGTATCATCAGCCTCACAAACTGTATTGGTTAAAGCCTACTTACAGTTCAGTCTGATTTTAGGATTTTTGGACAGGGCGCATATACGCAGCCCCCCCGTTTCATTTCTATAGGGTCTGTCCAGCGACGCAGCAGAGGGGCCAAAGTAGAGGAATCCACCATAAAATGCAGTGTCGTCATCCGGCAAAGTGCAATGTTGACGAAAGAGTAAGTGCACAATGCTGGTAAATTATTTTGTAGCATGGCTGCCATATTTCAACCGTTTACCTCGCAATCGTTTGCAAGTGTTGCTGGGTTAACTTTGCAGCGTTGTGAAACCCTTTGAATATTTCATTATGTTTTTATTTATTTGGTGTCTGACAGCCTTCAAACTCATCTTTCAAGTCCCCTGCTTTTTTCGTTGTAAATACCAGGACTATGTTCGGTGTGGTCGTACCATTCAGGAGCGATACAACCGCTGCACTGAAGAACTCAAATGGTGTTCAGCAGCGACTATTGCTCCTGAATCGGCGTCTCTCTTCCTACCTGTAGAGTTGTTGTGAAGCAGCAACTTGGAGGGAGACCGCAGGCCGGGCGTTTGTACCGTGGAGTTTGGAGAGAGAGGGCTCTTCTTTAAGTGCTCTGATGATCCAACGCTGTTCTCCATGAAGGACTCACCTGGGGACACAGAAGAGTCACAGTGAGATCAAGTGAACACATAAAGGTTTAAACGTTAAAACGGGGCCCTATCATAACAAAAGGGGCCACCAGCCTAAAACACCAGACCTCTGAAGTTGCAGTTTACATCAGTGTGTGTCCAGATGACTAAAACGTTTATATTAAGACGTTATTAAAAGGAATAAAGTCGATTTCTTTTGCTGAAGGTGTATGACTTTCTTTTTTACATGTGTGTTACTTATTTGAAGTTTTAGTATAGTATGTTTGTTCTTAAGTTTGCCTTTTTATTACCTTTAAGCAATTGTTTGAACATTGATCTTGAGTTCTATATCAAATTGTGATTTTTAACATTATTTAAGTAGCCGGGTATTTTGCCTCTTCCTGCAATGTTTATCATTTGTTATCTGCTATATCTATTTTCAAATTGTGCAAAACCATAAAAAAAAAAGAAAAACATTTCCATCGAGGAACATCCGGGCCGTTTCTCAATCTCGAGGAAACTGGCTTCCAAGCCAATATTTCAAGGATGCTACGTCATCGAGTGCCGCCGAAGGACTGTTCCAATCTCCAGTATACTTGGAATTCCACCGAGGCCGCATCCTTGGTTTGGGGGTAATTTCGAGGCTGCACATGGGTAGACTTCGCGTCCTTCAAATCCCCACAATGCTTTGCGCACGGACCAATTTCCCCAAATCTGTGGCGGAAAATGTAAGGCGGGGCCTCTCATATGACGCACACCTGCACACTTGCTAGCCTGTTCCACTCTTCGTTTTCCGAATGCCAGGAAGGATTCTTGCCTAGCTTCTGGAGGAAGTGACTCGGAAGACATGTGCTACCAAGCAAGCATCCTCGCGATTGAGAAACGGCCACAGTCTCTACTTTATTATTATTATTTTTGCAGACGTACAAAACAACTCTCTCTCGGAGCTCTATATCAGAACAACCATTGAACTGCAGCTCAATGTCCTGCTTGTCGTCCAGGGAGAGGGAGTGAACAAGGGTGGACTACAAAAGTACCTCTGCGTCCAAATGTGTTCACATGCTTGGCTAATAAAGCTTAAAGAACATCGTCAGCTGTAGCCGTGACAGTGGACAATGCTTCAAATATGGGTGTATGATGCCCATCCAGAAAAGCTAACATTCTTAAAAGTGGGTTTTTCACACAAATAATCAACTTGGCAGCAGCAGAAGAAGAAATGTACAAAATCGAAACGGTTTCAAGATGTGCACGTACACTTAGACATAATAACCTCTATGTTGAAAATGATGATGATATCATAGTGACCTTCGGGAAATAAAATGTCATCATTTAATTGTCTCCCATTAGACATTTGTGTGAGATTTTGGCATAATTAGAGTTATTTTTTGAGTTCACATTTGACTCGACCTTTGAACATCAGAATAACATTTGTTCATCACTTAGTCTAATTAGACTCAAGGGACGAAATCTCTCAAGACCTTTTTGAGATATGGGACAGGGCGGACACATTATGCTGACACGGACACAAAATAATAAAATGTAACAACACAGTGATTTAAAAGCACAATGGGCCTTATTCTCAGGATATCGATCACAGAGAAATGCCTGGAACTGTAGGGAAGTATAACATTGATTTGAGTATGTTCTGGAGAAGTGGAAGAGCCTTTTAAGGGAACTCTTTTACATAAATCTCTTTTAATGTTCCATTAACTTAATTAAAATCTAAGGAAATCGGAATAAGATGAAATGATTAACCTCCTGCCCAGAACGTAACACGACTCGCTCCTGAGCCGAAAGCTTCTTCTGATTTACTGCCGCCTTTTATATGATTACATAAGGCTTTACTAGACAACTCGGAGCAGTCGATTAGTAGAAGTAAATGTCCCACATAAAAGGCGGAGCAGCATTAGACTTTATAGCAACTGATTAAAGAAGCAAACACTATACACAGCAGGCGAGAGCTTTAAGCAAACTTCTCTTTTTTAAACTCACAAATAAACAACATAGAACAAAAAATGATATAAAAAGCATTTTTCTTTGTAAACAAGACAACATGACTAGCAAGGAGTCAAATCTGGGCACTGGTCATATCTCAGGGCGAATGTTGTGGTGCACTACAGCTCATCATCTAATATACTGTAAAGGTGAAATAATGCACTACTGTTCTAATAGTGGAATTAAAGACAATCATTAAAAATGTTATCGGTACTGGAGACATGTAAAACATATATGTCATGTGTATTATTGCTACACAAACATTATATTGCAGTTTTAGTGTTGCCAACTCCGTTTCTAACACGCAAAAAGACTGCAACATGTGTCTATGATTATTTTGAGTATTTTCGATCTTTCCAATCCAGACGAGAGATCTCTTTCTCCCCCGCCTGCGTGCGAGGGGGCGGGGCAGTTTACACACACGCGGCAGCTACATGCAGCAACACACACACACACACACACACACACACACACACACACACACACACACACACACACACACACACACACACACACACACACACACACACACACACCCTCTCTCAGACAAAGGCACACACACACAAACACACACACACATACATACACACACACACACACACACACACA